TGGGGCGGTGGGGTGGGGGAGATGTAAGGGAAAGAATTAATATAAGTGGATGTGGATGGATAGATGTGTGCGTCTAGGTGGACATGTGTGGATTTGGGGTACGTGTGCAGGTACAGGAAGTAGGAGTGAGTATGCCAGTATTCACACATCCCTCTGTGATGTGTGGGGTGGGGGCAGGGTGTGAGTGGTAGGTTAATGCGGAAAAGCATGCACATAGAGTCTTCAACTTGCACCCTAACTCCCAGGGCTCAGAAATTCAGATTCCCTCTGCTTGGGGTACCAGGCCCACCACCTACTCCCAGAATTCCATGACAGGTGAAGTGAAGTTCTCAGACGGTGCTGTTCTGGCTCCGGAGTGGTTCAGAAAGTCCATGCAGTGCTCTGTGGGAGATAAGAGAAGCAGGATGTGCATCCACTGGGAACAAAGTCAGCTTCTGGCTCCTCAGATGTCTGGCCTTGCAGTCTGGTGATTTTCACATCCCCTCTACCCGCATGACTACGTGCACCTTCATATCCTACCCCCTCACCTGCCCACGCCCACCTATAGCCTCACACTACCCCCAGGAGCTTCCTTTGGGGTCTCTACTTCCCAGAGTCCCCAGACTTGGCTGCTAGAGTCGTCCATGAGACCAGCCTCCCCTGCGGCTTACACTGCTGTGGGTGACCCTGAACCTGGCTGCACAACTCAGTCCTCAGTGGCCATCTGTCTCCAGGCCGAGGGTCACACATTTGCCTAATTGACAGCTCACTGGTTGAGGCTCTGTGTGCGCTCTTCCCCCTGCCTGAAATGCTGTTCACCAAGTGAGCGCCTTCTTTTCCTTCAGCCCCATAGCGCCCCGTCTCTGAGCAGTCCTCTCTCATTGCTTATCTCCATCATTTCTCCCACCAACTGTTTTATAAAGGTTACTGCACTCTTGATGTATTTCACCTGTCCCAATGGGTGCCTATTTTGTCTATTTCTACTATCAGATGATGATGAGCCCAAGGGGTACAGGGTCCATGTTGCTCTTGCTCGCCCTTGGGTCTTCCACGCCATGCTTGGCCAAAGGAGGTGCTCAGTAAACGGAATGAATGAGTGAGTGAGTGGGTGAGTGATGACAACCCCTAGACGTTGTGTATCCCAACTACAGTCCCACTGGGTTTACAACCACCTCCTAGTGGCTGGTCTAAGGTCCCACAGAAGGGTCGGCTAGCAGAGCTGGCACCAGAGCCTGCCTGCCTTGTCCTGTGGCAAGCTCTGCCATGGTCAGCTTCTGTACTCTGCTGCGTAGTCATCAGCAGGCAGCCTCGCCCCAAGGGCTGAAAGGATGTACACAGGCATACTTGGGAGCTATTACAGGGTTGCTTCCAGACCACGAAGTTTTGGGTTTCCCCGTGCATGTACAAGTCAGGGTTGTGCTATCCTCTCGTCTATTCATTGTGTGGCAGCCTTGTTTGAACAGTGAATTACCAATGTGGGACGGAGACACAGAGTGAGCTCAGGCTATTGGAAAAATGGAGCGGATAGACTTCCTCAAACCTACCTGTACAGAGCCATACAGCGAGGCATTGTACCTGTATTCCAGGGATTGGTGCAGGTTGTCCAGGGCAGCTCTGAGGTGAAGGAGCTGAACAGGTAGAAAAGAGCCCAGGCAAGGATAATGATGTAGTAGACGTTCAAATAGGCTTCAATGACCACAGATGCCAGGCCAATGCCTTCGGGGGACAAGGACAAAGACAAGAAAATCCAGGAGACCCATATGAGCGACTACAACAACAAAAGTCACATAGAAGCCTCCTAGGGGTGCTACCCAAAGAGACCACCAGCGTGGAAACCATTCACAGCCTCTAATAAGTGAAGCAAGTTATAGACACTATTCCATATACTGTCCCATTGTTGTAATATACACTTGAAAGTATAGATGTGGTTGTTGTTTTTTATTATGGTTTTATTGGGGACTCATACAACTCTTATCACAATCCATCCATCCATCCATCCATTGGGTCAAGCACATTTGTACATTTGTTCCATCATCATTTTCAAAACA